CTCCCCTACTCACTAACGCCGTTTTCTCTCTCTGTTCCTCTTTTGTGTGTCGCGTGCTGTACACCCGACTGCCATAGGCAGAATCACGCATCGATCGACCATTTTCTACTTTGTGGCGTTGAGCTCCGCTGAGGCCACACAGACGCCGTGGTTCCCAGTTTAGAAAAGTATCGATACGGGGGATGAAACTATCGATAAGCAGGCGAAACGTGTCGCGAGTGAACGACTACAAATTCAATGCTTTATATAGTAACGCAAAGATCAGTGGGTTCACTGGAATTCGTTTACTTACGGAATTTTATACGGAGATAAACGATTATGTTTTCTTAACATTGTTTTTACCAAAGGTCTTGGAAGACATCTTTTGACATTGTAATTTAAAATTATTTTCCATGTTCAATCATTTTGACTTAATTGGTATTTGGGATTTTTACATAATGATTATAAAATTAACGGTATATGCTTTGTTTAGATGGTATTCAATTATTTGTTACATTATATTAAGAAATTTAATGAATATTGTCAAATTGCTTTTTGGTAAACAGAGGTATGGAAGAAAGAGTGGCAAATATATTGTTACGTTTCAGTGAAGTTTCTTGTGTGTATATTTGTATTTCAAGCTTTCATGTTGCAACGTTATGATGTCTGTAGTTAATAATTGATCTATTGTTAAGTAAGTAGAAGTTTATTATTTCTAATTACTACTATAAGGTAAAACATAGTAACGTCTGTATAAGTTAGTTTTTATCAAAGCCTTAATTTAAAAATGTTATAATACCACTAAAATATAATTATTTAACTTATAAAAGTTAATATAAAATATAATTAAATTGTACTAAAGTATAATTTAAAAAATATGTTCCCTTGAAATATTTACGTCCACATGAATTTGAAAAATAGTTTTATATGTTAGAATGAAAATAAATATTATACCCTTAAATGTTATACTTATACGAAAAAATGTGAAAAATAATTTAACTTGTTTCGAGTGATCGTTCCATTACATACCATTAGAAATTTTTCTTTCCTATTTATACATTGATAGTTATTGATTACAATTTGCAGTGAAAATCTGTATGTTTAGGGTCTAATATTCGTTAATAACAATTTCTGTTTTCATTAGCAACATATGTGCGATTTAATATATTTGTGCTTTTTTAAACTTTTGTATATCTACCAAATTCGATTTTTGTTGTTGTTAATCAACTAAAGAGACTAGGAAGGAGTTCGGTTCGAGAAACTGTTAGGTATCTTGATTGAAATGTATAACTCGTCGCACGACCGCATAAATATTGTATTATTATACAATACGAGTCGCGCGAATGAAGCTTCACAAAGCTGTTCGAAGAATACTGACGATAAAGCATTGTATACTGAATGCATCTGTTTGAATCAAGAATCTATTTAAATGAAAGACAATGGTTATATTCGCACGTAAGAAAGAGGAATATTAAGAGAAGATTTCATAGAAAACAGTATTATAAACATTTGAGATATAAAACAACTGCATATTATTTTGAACACATTGTTATAACAGTGGGAAATCGAATTAAATATTTTCTAAAAATTTACAATAGATTAATGTCATTAAATAGAAGAATTTATACAACGTGAATAATCAGATAAGAATATGAAATTATTGTAT